CTTCCTTTCACTCCTCCAATTTCTTTATTTAATTGACACTTCAAAATCTCACTTTAATTTATTTATATTAATTAAACATATTGCATACCAACACCTTGCCGTCATGTATCAATATGAAGAAACCTGGGTTTTGTTTGGATTCAAAGTTTGCTGTTTTGATCTCTTCTTCATGGTTCATATTGGCTTACTCTTTATTGAAATTAGATTGGGCTCAGTATTCGGGGACTGTGTCTCGAATATTGCTGCTCTCTCGTCCCTATATCGCTACCTGAATCAAAGCATGGACTACATCGTCTAGAGACTCATTGGAACGATAGCATTCACCTGGTCAGAGATGGAGTTATGTGTGGATCTTTTTTCTTTGACGTTAACTTTTTTTTCTAGCATAGTTTAATTATTTGTTTAGGCTTTCGTATTTTGGTCTGAAGATTTCGGTATAGATCTTTTTTTGGTAATTCATCCTCGTATTCTACCACTGTATTTCAAAAACGCATTCCAATTACAGATCTTACTATGTTTAATAAAATATTTCAGACAAAAAAAAACTGCATGAGTTACAACTTACAAGTAATTGATGACACTTGGAAAAAATGAAAAGGAATCGAGAAGATAATAATTAAGAAGAAAATGTTTTTCCCTGTTTTCGGTATATTTTTTTTTCCTTTTCCACTTAATTGGTGGGAAAATAGATATTTTCAAGAATTTTTGTTTTTTCCTTTTCTTTTCTACTATAAATGGTAAACAGTCAGAGAGCCCTAGTATATTTCTCCTTTTTCTGTAAAAATGTTATTTTTTATAATTACTACCATATGTCTGAAATTTTTTTATTTTTTATAATTACTATCAATCAACCACTCCAATGGCATTGTCTTTTCAACAAAATACCCGAGCCATTTGTTCTCTAACATCCATCGCCCTATCGGGCTTTTCTTGCTGTGTATATGCCTATCCAAAAGTCCTCGGACGGTGTCAAACGGATGTTGTCCGAGTAACCCCGGACCTTCGTAAAGATATCACGTGTCCCGGCTTTGGGACCTTTGGTCCAATATCTATGGACAAGCACTGTGGATGACTCGCATACGATTAAAATGACGACCGGTCTTTGTTTAGCGCCAAACCATTGTTACAACGAAGATTGTCCATGACAACTTTGGCCTCTTTCATCTTTTTACCGTATCTGATCACTTTTCCAGTCCACTCGCTGATTAACGCTGCGAAAAATGCATCTCTGACCGACAAAAAAAATCACATAATATTTTAAGTTTAGATTGTTCTCAAACGGTAATTTTGCCGGCCCGAAAGTTGGAGATGCCTGTGACTAAAAAAATGATGCGTTAAATAATAA